ACTCATGCAAATGGACACTGGGGGGAGGGGGGATACACTAGTTCTTTAGATTCAACCAGATTTTGAATTTAAATTAATTCCCTTGGGGACTCCTGCCACAACTATATACACCACCAAAGACAGTGAATAACAGTAATAACTTCCAATTTAATATCCTTATAGTACACTTGGGCTTCAGAGGAAAAAAAAATCCTAATTTATATATACCTAATTATTTTTTTAAAAAAACACTAATTAGTCCATGTAGGAAGAATGCTGCAAGGAAATGTCATCCTGTTCCTAAACAAAGATCAACTCAACTACTGAAATATGAGGATTGCTAGAATAACACTTGCAGCTGTAAACTGCTGCAAATATTTCAGTTCATGCTAAAGGATATCTATGGGGAGGGTGACTCACTGCATATATTATTGATGTAGCTGGGCTATGATATGAGATTGTAGTAGAGATAACTTGCAAACTGAAATCAAATATAATATTCTGGCTTTACACAAGAAAAGCCCAACTACCAATTTTCTCCTCCTACTCTTGAAACATTCTGACTGGATTAGGGTTTCAACTATATGATTGTTTTCAGGCTCAATTAAATATTTAAACATTTTTCCTCGTATTCAGCTAAAATGAACAAAACGTTCACGGTCATAGTTCTATAATAACAGAGATAAAGCCCTAGAGAACTTGCTATGGTTAAATCTAGCAGTGCAAATTACCAGACTGCAGGGAAAATTGTCAGTTCTTTTTTCTTTTTCTTTTTAATTGATTTTAGAGAGAAAGGAAGGGAGAGGAAGAGGGAAAGAGAGACAGAGAGACAGACAGAGAGATTTGTCGTTCCACTTATCGAAGCATTCATTGGTTGATTCTTGTATATGGTCTGACCAGAGTTCAAACCCACAACCATGGTGTATCAGGACAATGCTCTAACCAACTGAGCTACCTGGTTAGGGCTGCCAGTTCTTTAGAAGCAACTGGACCCACCAATGTGGATTATTTTATAAATCGACGTTATCAGGAAGCTCCATATTGATCTTTTATAACAAAACAAGTCAAATGGTTAAACCTGTTGGCCCTAGTACAAATCCCTAATCATTCCTAGATTCAATATCAATTACTACAATCTCACTTCTTTCTTCCCCAAACAACCCAGACCTGTAGGGAGCCCCCTTCCAGAGGCCATGTTTTGATTTGGCATCTGAAAACAAAGTTGCTAAGAGAGGTCAGGTCAATTTTGCTATGAGGGAAATCATTACCTAAAGGTAAAGCGTATGGCTTTATTTTTTAAATTCAAGTTTCAATAACTTATTTATAAAACATAACATATAGGCTTCTAAGAATTAAGATAAAAAACATCATTTTGTTGTACCATTTACCTTTATGTTTAAAAAGGATTTGTATGAATCCATCAACCTTAATAGAGAAATAATTCAAAATTCATTTTTTACTAAAAATGGGTCAATAATATCTTCCTTGGAAATGAAAGACAGCAAACCACTGTAGAATGAAAAACAATTCTCAGGCTCTTTCTTCATAAGTTACTGAATCAATTTTCTTGGCTGTTTTTAGTGCTGAAATAGCATCAAAAAACTTTCAGTTTCAGATGACCAACTTTATAAGCCTTTCTATGTAATATAGATTATTTCATTGTCTGATCTAGAGATGTGAAATTCTAAAACCATGGAGCAATGATTTGATAGTTTACTACTTGATAAACTAAAAGGATAGTTTATTCAAACAAGTGGTTGAATATCACTATAAATTAAATTGAATTTCATTTGATAGGTCTATGTTTTCAAAATATAACTGTTCTTTTTATGTGGTTATATGTAAGCCTAATAAAATGGGTTGTTTCATCATGTTACTTATTTGTCCAGGTCTACTCAGGAGGTCAGAACATTGCTAGGTAGGGAGCCCCCTTCCAGAGGCCATGTTTTGATTTGGCATCTGAAAACTAAGTTGCTAAGAGAGGTCAGGTCAATTTTGCTTTGAGGGAAATCATTACCTAAAGGAATCAAAGTTTAACAAAGGATTTCATACTTTTCATTGAAAGATCAGGAAGCATAGAAACAAGAAACTAGGCAGTGAGGTTGGTGGCTAAAATCATTCAGAGAAGGATAATCAAGTGGAAGTTCAAATCTGGTGATTTGAAATCTCAACTCTGAATGGACTATGTATGTTCCATGTAATTTAGCTTAATTCAAGGGGTTCTTTACCTTTCATCCTCATGAAAGAGGAGTTCTGGGTCAGAGCATTCCTGAAACTACTAGTGTTTCTGTAGGCAACAGAGGAAAAGTCCACTCTCTGGAAAAAAAATAGTTTTTAGGCAGTCCTTGCTACCCTTTTCAGGCCTCTATACACATAGCCAAATCCCTCATCAGCCTTCATGTTTCCAACGTTTTCACTGTTCCAAGAACAATCCTCATTTTTTAATCTAAGGAGAGACAATCAGAGCGATCCAGTAAACACTATTCGGTTATGTGAAAGAATTATTAAACATAAACCAAAGGAGGGCTGAAGTTGGTTTGATACTTTATTACAGCTACATAGGCATGACTATGACAAATTGCTGAAATTTGCTGAGGATCATATCATGTTCCACAAGCTAATGCCTGCAAGTACTACCAGGGTATCCAACAAAATCGCTAGACTCTAAGACTTGCTCAAGACCATTCCTTGGGAATCCGCAGCTGGGCAATGACCTATGGGATACCTGAGCACCTGCTCTCATAAGATTGAAGTCCTAATTTTTCCACTGTATAAATTAGAAGCACTGAATAGAAATAGGGGGATATGGTGGTTTGACATCCTGATAGACCTTATCCAACTATTTCTACTTTACTGTGCAGACCATCTCCCACACCTGATAACCATGTAATGTAGGCAGAACTGCTTTGACAAATGTGAGTGAACACTTAGAAAAGAAAGAAAATGCAACTGCAATATTAAAAACCCATGCACTGCCTGGCCGGGCGTGGCTCAGCGTCTGAGCATCCCACCTAGGATCCAGGAGATCCAGGTACGATTCCTGGTCAGGGCACATGCCCGGGTTGCAGGCTGGGTCCCCAGTTGGGGGTGTGCAGGAGGCAGCGGATCAGTGACTCTCTCATCATTGATGTTTCTCTCTCTCTCTCCCTCTCCCTTCCTCTCTCTGAAATCAATAAAGATATATTTAAAAAAAAAAAATCCATGCACTGTCCATCTGCATGTGTCTTAGTCCTCTCCTAAATTTTCGCTGTACAATAGACTTTGCTTATGTATGAAGCTTAAATTTTACACAATTATAGATCTACACCTTCTCCCCACCAAAATAACAGACACGTGTGGCTGCTCAGACTCGCTTTCTGAGTTCTAGCCCAAGCCTCTGACGCTTTCATTCACGCCGTGGGAGCAGCCAGTCACTACTGGACTAAGGTCCTGAGGCAGCCGGCAGGTGGGCTCGGCGGCCCTTGAGCATGGACCGCGGATCCCGCGACCGGGGCCTATTCCGGGTCAGGGCGCAGGCCCGGGTTGGGGGCTCATCCCCAGCAGGGGGCGTGCGGGAGGCAGCGGATCAGCGACCCTCTCTCACCATTGATGTTTCTCGCTCTTCCTTCCTCTCTCTGAAATCATTAAAACGTATTTTTTAAAAAACGTATTTTTTTAAAAAAGTTCTGAGGCGCCTTCACATCCACCTTATGCGTGGTGCTAGGAGTTTCTCGGGGTCACTTGGGGAACCTGGGAAGGGAAAATAGGTAGGGTAATAAGGCCAGGAGTACCTCCCTGTCCCATTTGCGGGCAGTTTTTATTTTATGTATCGGGCTTTTTCATAAATTTTTGTCAGTACAGAGTTCTACTGGTTTTCAAGGGTTAGCAAATGGCTGCGGTGGTACACAGAAGTCAGGGGAGGCGGGCTCGGTCAGAAGGCCGGAGCCCTCACTTACTGCGGCAGGAGGGCCGGCAACTCCCGTCTCCAACACCCGTCCGGGCGCCGCCCCCTCACAGCCCGCTGTTACGTCCACACGCGTTACAAGCGCGACGGCGTCAGGGCTGAGCGGGTTCCTCCGCCGAAGGCCGGGCCGCCACCGCCC